CGAAGCTAGTTCTGATGAAGAAGAAGAGATGATGGATGAGACCACTTCAGAGGGGGCAGATGAAGATGAAGAGCCTGTTTCGCCCGTTAGAGAGTTGAGGCGGTCTGCTAGAGTTCCCAAGCCTAATCCGAGGTACCCATCACTACAGCCCAGAGCTCATCTCAATTACCTACTTTTGAGTGACGGTGGAGAGCCAGAAAGTTATGATGAGGCTCTTCGAGTGGATGATGCGAGCAAGTGGGAGCTCGCCATGAAAGATGAAATAAAATCCTTGAACACCAACAAGACATGGGAACTTGCGAAGCTACCAACGGGGAAAAAGGCCTTGAGCAATAAGTGGGTGTACAGAATCAAAGAGGAACATGATGGTTCCAAGAGATACAAGGCCAGATTGGTGGTTAAAGGATTTCAGCAGAGAGAAGGAGTTGATTACACAGAAATCTTCTCTCCAGTAGTCAAACTGACTACCATCAGAACAGTCCTGAGTATTGTTGCAGCTGAAGATCTACATCTCGAGCAGCTAGATGTAAAGACAGCTTTCCTCCACGGTGATCTAGAGGAAGAGATATATATGCAGCAGCCAGAGGGGTTTACTCAGAAGGGAAAAGAGAAGATGGTATGCAGATTGAAGAAGAGCTTGTACGGCCTAAAACAAGCTCCAAGGCAATGGTACAAAAAGTTTGATGGATTCATGCACAGGAACGGTTATTCCAGGTGCAATGCTGATCATTGTTGTTTTGTCAAAGAGTTTGACAAGAGTTACATCATCCTGCTCCTATATGTCGACGACATGCTTGTGGCCGGCTCAGACATGAGAGAGATCAAGAAGCTGAAGAAGCAGCTGTCGAGTGAGTTTGACATGAAGGACCTAGGCGCAGCGAAGCAGATATTGGGAATGAAGATCAGCAGAGACAAACTCTTAGGCACTCTACGACTATCTAAGGCCAAGTATATTCGACGGGTGCTTGAGAGATTCGGGATGAGTGGTGCTAAGGCCGTCAGCACACCGTTAGCTAGTCATTTCAGATTGACTAAGGAGCAGTGCCCCGAGACTGATGAAGAGAAAGATTACATGACTAAGATTGCCCATGCAGTGGGAGCTGTGAGCAGATTTATGTCAGATCCAGGAGAGCAGCACTGGGAAGCAGTAAAGTGGATTCTTAGATACCTGCGAGGTACTATAGAAGATTGTCTATGCTTCAGAAGAGGCAAGTTAGTCCTGCAGGGTTTTGTTGATGCAGACTATGCTGGTGAGATAGACCAAAGAAGAAGCACTACAGGATATGTATTCACTTTGGGCTCTACAGCTATTAGTTGGGTTTCTCAGTTGCAGAAGATCGTTGCTTTATCAACGACAGAGGCTGAATATGTTGCTGTGACAGAGGCAAGCAAGGAGATGATATGGTTGCAGGGTTTCTTGGAGGAGCTGGGACAGAAAAGTGAGAAGAATGTCCTACATTGTGATAGCCAGAGCGCAATTCATCTGGCAAAAAATCCCGCTTTTCATGCAAGGACCAAACACATACAGGTCCGCTACCACTTCATAAGATCAGCGTTGGACGAGGACATGTTGGAACTTGTGAAGATTCAAGGAAGCAAGAACCCAGCTGATATGCTTACCAAGGTTGTCACTACAGAGAAACTGAAGTTGTGTTCAACTTCAGTTGGCCTCAGCACTTGATGATATGGAGGCCGTCGCCGCAGAGAGAGCTGAAAGAGATTGATAGTTAGTCTCCAAGTGGGAGATTGTTAGGATATGTGAAGCCTAACTATCAAGCATGCCCTATACTTCAGAAGAGAGGAGGAACAAAGTTGGAACAGGAGGAACAGGATCGACGATGGAGAAGTTCAAGCAAAACGACGAAGGAGACAGTTTTCTGCATCGCGGTCGACCGCGGTCGACCGCACATGGCGCTGCGGTCGACCGCCCAAAGTCCAGAGAGCTCGATCAGGAATAGGATTCGTCGCGGTCGACCGCACGTGGTGCTGCGGTCGACCGGAGTCGGGTTTTGGCCCAGTTTCGAATTTTAACCTGTTTTGTTCTGTTTCCTTTTTTTTTTGTTAAACCCTTAAGTCTATAAAAGGGTTGGCTAGGGCATAATGTATTGAGACGAAAAATAGTGAATTTTTCTCCTGCGGCGGCCGTGGACGTAGTTTCTCACATTGAGAAGCAAACCACGTAAATCTTGTGTGTTTGAGATTGTTTGATTTTCTCTCTTCTCTCCTAAATCTCTATTTCCAAATCGCATCAGGGGGTTGTGCATCCCCAACAATTATAACTTGGTTGTGCACTTGCCATGCATACGTTTTCTCACACAACAAATTTTTAGCTTCCAAAATAAGTAAAAAATAACTCCCTACCCAGCGACAACATCAAAGATTTATTGCATGTGAAATAGAGTGTTGCAAACATAACCATGTTATAATATAGAAAATGTTAAATCACAAGGAGAGAGTTTTTTAAAATTTTAAATTAATTTTTTTCTTTTTGAAAGTTATTTGAAAAGAGGTTTTTTTAATGAAAAGGTGTTGAAAAAGGGGTTTTGGATTTTCAATAAAGAAAAGAAAATGAAAAGTAGAAAAAGGGAGAGAGGAGAGAATAAAAATGTAATTAAAAGAGAAAATGAAAAATAAAATAAAAAGAACAAGTGAGAAAATGGGGAAAATAGAGAAGTAAAAGAACTAGAAAGAAAATGTAAAAACTAAAAGAATTAGAAAAAGAAAGAAAAGGTGAACTAACAAAATAAGGAAATGAAGATGAAAGAGATTAAAGTAGGAAAATAGGATATATTCCACTAGATAACTATTTATTAGATCTATACATTACTCTCTTATTTATTTATTTTTAGAATTAAAAAGCATAACCTATCAATCTAATTAAAGAAAATATTGATTATCAAGATAGATTATAAAAATAAAATTAAAATTTGTGCATAGATAATCAATTGAAAATAATAATCCTAGAATACCAACAAGCATAAATTATCAAACCATTTAAGAAAGTATAACCTATCAAATTAGAATATTCTATCCTATTTTTTTGATTGATTAATCTATACTTAAATCAAATTAAGGCATAAAAGAGAGAAATTCTAATTCTTATAAATAACTTATACTAGTTTTCTCTTACCCTAATTATCGTAAAAATTGTAGCCACACATTTTATTAAACCCTAAATTATGAGCAAATAAAGAAACATGGATAAAAAGGCAAGGAAAAGTAAATTATAAAAATCAACTAAAAGCAAGGAAATAAACTAGCTATCTAACACTGAAAATAAATCTACTCCTAAATTAAAAAAGAAAAACTAATTAAGCATGAAATTAAACAAGCAAAGCATGAATTAAAATAAATCAAACTAATTCCTAAACATGCAACTCCAATTAGAAAAGGGAACTTAAAAACTAAAAACTCATATGGCAACCTTATGTAGATCCAAATTTCTTCAAATCTCGATGAGAAAAAAAATTAAAAAGAATTTTTTTTATTTTTATTGTAAAACTAAAGTTTTATAGTATTTGAAAGGCTTTTTCAAAAGATTTAGCCCTCCTATCACCTAGAAGACAATTTATAAAAATTTACACATCTTTCACCCTTACTCTCTACTTTTACTTATAGATTGCATAAACCAATATGAGTTCTTGGATCAAACTTGTCCTCAAAGAAACAATTTTCGGTCATAAAATGCAAGCTAGAAACTTTTGCACCGGATTTCAATATATTTACGATTCTACCACTGGTTCACAAAAAGGCCACTACAACTCCAGTTTGACTCAAACTTGATTCTTTGTATTTGTAATTATAAGACGGACAATATTATATGATCCTTAGCTATATCAAATATTATCCTGTGCTCTTTTATTTAAAACAAGTTACAACACCTCTAACTACTAACTATCATGGTCATTTTTATCTAAAATTCTTGGCTTAATTTACTTAGACTTGCTTGAGTTGCGATTGAGATTAAAATATCTTCATTTGAGCTCTTGGTTACTCTTCATTTTTTCCTACAAAACAGGATAAAATATATATTCGTCATTTATTTGCATGAAACTTATTTGAAATAGAGGTATGAAAATGCAATAAAATATGATAATCGATTGCCCCTTACTCTTCTATTGTGACGGGAAACGTCCTCTAATCTTTTTGGTGTCCCTACTAATATTTTATTGTAGTAGTATAGATATTAGATAGTTGGTAAGCTGCTAATGGGTAGTACTCTAAGGTCTCAATTTTGACTCTCCTGTGGAGCATCCACATCAATTTAATTTCGTAAATACCCAAGGTCATGCATTGGAGGGTGCCCCTCTACACCTGGGGGTTTAATACTCATGGTATGAAGGATTATGGGAATGTTCCCTCGCCAAAAAAAGTAACACAAATCTTCAATAGTTTTATAATAGTCCCTCAAATCCATGAAGTTGCTCATTAATCTTTCAAATCATAGGGTTAGTGTAATTTGGTCAATCAATGACCAAAATACCCTCAATTAATGCTTTTCAGAAGGATTATTTACAATTTGGCATTCTAAAATTTAGACCTTCTTAAACTTTGGCACCCCAAACTTTACACATTCTTAAACTTTCAAACCTTCCAGAGATTCCGCAAATTTTTAATTTGATATCTCCAAGCTTGCACATTTTTAAACTATGATACCCTGAAGTTTTGGGGTATGAAACTGTCAAAATAAAACTTTAGGATATCAGAGTTAAAATTGTGTAAGCTTTGTTGCAGCAAAAAACGTTAGGAAAAAAACATTAAGGTATCGAAGTTAAAATAAAGAGTAATATGAAATTTTTTGAACAAGCTAGATCCTAAGAGAGAAATCATAACTAAGAGGTATTTTGGGGATGGAGGGACCACATTACAAGACCACTTACGGTTTGAGGGCCTATTTAGCAATTATGTAGAATTGAGGGACTAATATGACATTGTTGTGGATTTTGAGGGATTACTAATAGGGAGGTAACCGTAGCAAAATGCTGACGATTCTACGAAATGTTGATCCGTGCAAAAATGCGCCCAAGCCCAAGGGCCTCGTCCGTCTCGATTCGGGTTGACGAAGTTCCGACCCGATCAAATTAGCATCGATCCCCTCCATCCTCCCCTCCGGAGATTTTTTCCCCCACTGCTGTGTTATCCATGGCCCTTTCACAGCTCTAAAACTCCTTTTGAAATAGACCAAAACCTCTCTCTCTCTCTCTCTCTCTCTCTCTCTCTAACCCATGAATTTATCTCCAAGCTTCCAATTAAGTCATCCTTCATCTCTCTTCGACTCGCTCCACTCCTTCTCTCGCCTCCAATTGCGTCCACGCATTCAGCTCCTCCGCTGCAAATCCACAAAAACCCTGAACTCCCACTCAAACCCCGTCTCCAATCAAAACCCAGATGTCAAAATCCCATCTTTACCCCAACCCACTAACAACTGGATCCAGAAATGGCCCCGAACACCCCCGAAACCCCTCCGCAAGCCCTCAAACTCCGTCGCAGACTACCGCAACTCCACCACCAGTGACGACGAGGAGGTGGTGGGCGCCAGCAGAAGCACAGGAAGCAGCACAATGGAGAGGATAGTTGAGAAGTTGAAGAGATTTGGGTACATTGATGATTCAGCAGAGAGAAGGGAGAGACCGTTGCCCAAAAAGGGCTCGGTTGAAGACATTTTCTATGTTGAGGACGGCGTTTTGCCCGATTCAAGAGGCGGGCTCACTGTGGATTTGAACGAGGAGGCTCGGTTTCCATGGGAGAAGCCGAGCTTGGAGCTTAAGGAAGGAGGAGGGGAGAGGAGGAAGAGGAGCAAGACGACGGTTGCAGAGCTTACGCTTCCTGAAGGGGAGCTGAGGAGGTTGAGGCATTTGGCAATAAGGACGAAGTCGAAGACGAAGATTAAGGGGGCAGGAGTGACGAAGGAGATTGTGGATTTGATACACGAGAAGTGGAGGACTGAGGAGGTGGTGAGGCTGAAATGTGAGGGGCCGCCTGCGCTCAACATGAAGAGGATGCATGAGATATTGGAGGTTTGGCAGCTATTAACTTCTTGTTCTTTAAATTTGGATCATTTGGTGCCATTAGCATAGTCCTGTATGATTAATGATTGGCGTTGATTATAACGATATTGATCTCCTCTGAAAGAACATTTGATATTACTTACTCCGGCTAATATGCAGATTAGAGGACTGATGCATTCTGTTCGCTTTCATTTTCTTTGGTGAAACTGTTGATTGCGGTTAGTTAGAGAAATTAATGAATTTCACACTCTAATATGAGTAATGAATCACAATAGCTTTTACGAGCACTTGAAGTTGTAAAGGATTGAGGGTAACCTTGGCTTCTAGTAAATATCAACCACATGATTTTTTTTCCTTTGTGCAATATGCATATCTTTGTTGAAAATTGTTGAAAATTTGAATTTTGTCTCTTTCTCTTACAAGCACACACGAAAGTACTATTCTTGAAACTATTGGTCTGACATGTAGTTATTACACAATTGCTGTTTTGTCTTCTCCATAGGTACCTTAATAGCTTCCATGAATACAAACTTTAGATACTATCCCTTGTGGGTTCTAAAAAGAAGTTTTTGATAATATTAGGTTATTCAGATCATTTACAAAGAACCATTTGGCTCCTCTTATGTTAAGTGGTTATTGGTCAACTTTGTGAAGCTGAAGAATCTTGATTAGTCGGTTATTTATACTTGCACTTGTATCAGCCAAAGGCTAATAGACATCTGATATCTCCATTACTTCCATCAGGATTTTTCTCCTGGGTCCCAATGCTTGCATATCATCTAAATTTTATTTCATCAACTTGCTTTATGTTGTTGTTAGACAGCATGCTGATATTGTTAATACTTCTGCTAATCAGAGGAAAACTGGAGGGCTGGTGATATGGAGGTCAGGGAGTTCTATTTCCTTGTATCGTGGTGTAAGCTACGAGACTCCACAACCAGTGAAAAAACCATATCAGATTATTCAAACTACTGAAGTTGTTCCTTTTAGCAATGCCACATACGGTGGTTCCTCAAGGAATTTAACAGAAACAAGTGGAGATGCTATGGAGCGTCCTCATGTAAGTCTTCCAGCTCCTTTTGAGAGGAAACAAGATATAGAATCACCTTCCGAGGTCAAATATGAAAGTGAAATGGACAGTTTATTAGATAGTTTAGGACCGAGATATGACGATTGGCCAGGACCTGATCCGTTGCCTGTAGATGCTGATATGCTTCCAGGCATTGTTCATGGCTATAAACCTCCTTTTAGAATCCTCCCTTATGGCGTGAGGCCTTCTCTTGGTTATAAGGAAGGTACTGGATTAAGGAGGCTTGCCAGGGTATTGCCTCCTCATTTTGCCCTTGGTAAGCGAGCATCTTATTGCTATCTCCCTTTAGCAATTGAATTGTTCATATGAATTTATTTTTTCTTAGTGCTCAAATTCTTCTTCATGTAGGAAGAAGTAGGCAGCATCAAGGTTTAGCTGCAGCGATGCTGAAGCTGTGGGAAAGAAGTTCGATTGCAAAGATCGCTTTGAAGCGTGGGGTACAGCTTACTACGAGCGAAAGAATGGCTGAAGATATCAAGGTGACATAAGCTACTGATTCATACTTAACTTTTAAATAGCTTTATGCTTATAAACAGCATATGCAAAAGCCAACATGTGAGTAAAATGTGAAAAGAAAAAAAAAGCAAAAATCTCTATATAAGCACTTGTCAATATCGGCTTGGCACATTACAGCTTCTTATATTTTTTACGTATGCACCTCTATGGTTGACATCTGTAACCTTTGTGCACTTGAAATATACAGTTTACCACACATTTAAGTGATGTGGCACGTGGCTCGCTGAACGCGCATTTCGCATGTTTATCCCATATATCACACTAAATATAATTACAATTGGCACATGTAACCTTATGAGAGTACCTTTTATACATTTAACCTTCTAGATTTGTATGTCTCACTGTTGTAGCTATATTGCGTATTCATTAATCATTATTCATTCATAATATCTCAGCTGATGGATTTATTCTACATCCAATTTGGCGTAAGGACTGAAGGAATGTTTGAACAGACCCTTTACACTATGTCTGATTAGTCACTTTATAAATTTGTCCAGTGAGTTTTCAGTCAACAGTGAAGTTAACGGAAGCTGCAAACAATGGAAAGCTGGGCAATACCTTTGTTCATTCTTTGACAAGAGTGGATAATGACATCCTAAAACAGGATAAGGTGCATTAGGCAAGCTTTTGCTTGGATTTAGTTGGATACAAACTTAATCTATTTAATATGTTAAATCAAGTTTGAGCTCAATAATCTTTGCTCTGGTAAAAAATGTTGTACTGATCCCTGTGAAAGGTCTTTCTGTCGTCTAAAATTTTCTGTTGTTACCTTTATTCTGTAAGTCTTAAAGTTTTTTGATGCGTTTTTTTTGCTGAAATTTGTGTATTAAATAGAGGATAGCCTGATTGTTTGGATATGTATGCATGTTCTGACATCTAATTGGGATGTTTAGTATGTTTCTTGGGTTCTTTTTTATGCAGGTTGTGCTGTAAAATATAATTGATGACAATTAAGTTCCAAGAAGCTATCTGAGCTACACTTGATTTAAATTGAATTCCCTCCATATACTCACTTGACAATTAAGTTCCAAGAAGCTATCTGAGCTACACTTGATTTAAATTGAATTCCCTCCATATACTCACTTTTTAATTTCTTACTAATTCTATATCTGAGCTACACTTGATTTAAATTGAATTCCCTCCATATACTCACTTTTTAATTTCTTACTAATTCTATTCTTATATCACAGTCTCTCTGAGTTCTTCATAGTCATATTTGTTCAATTCACAATTTTTGTATAATTATATTGCCGTGTCCCACAAATTTTTTCGGGTGATTGCAGAAGTTAACAGGGGGTACCATTCTCTCTAGGAACAAGGACTACATCGTTTTCTTCAGAGGGAAAGATTTCTTGTCCCCAGAACTGACAGAAGCATTACTAGAGAGAGAAAGGATGGCAAAGACCCTCCAAGATGAAGAGGAACAAGCAAGACTGAGAGCCTCTGCTTTGGTCATTTCAAGTGTTGAAAAAGTTGATGAGATGGGAACTGAAGTGCAAGAGTCAGGCACTACTGGGACCCTTGGAGAAACTCTGGAAGCTGATGCTAGGTGGGGCAGCAAGATAGATGAAGACCATGCAAACAAGATGATGAGAGCTGCTGAGGCGGCAAGACACGCTGACCTTGTCAGAAAGCTCGAGAGGAAGCTTTTCCTTGTAAGTGTCTCTCAGTCATATGTACTACTTTTACTACATAGATTAGACAACCGTTCTAAATTGTCTTCTATAAAAGAAAGTTGTCTTTTGACAAGATACAGAGCTTAAAATTGTTAGGCAGTCACAACGATTTATGTCATTTCTCTTTCTTTCCATTTCATAACTTGTATATCGTTCTTGAATGCATCTTTTGCTTGGTTACTAAATTGAAACACTTCTTATTGACTTTGTTAAAATGCTGCAAAAAGGTGATCGTTCCACATGTTGTCTTTGATACCATTATTAAGTCTAACTACTTGAGGCCTTTTTTTAAAAATGTAGGAACTTCTCTCATGTTACCTAAAACATTGTTCGTTTCTGCCTTAATTAGATCATAATTAATCTGCTACATAGTTATTTCCAGTGTCTTTTGGATGAGCTATCTCTAAAATATTGTGAAAGAGGTAGTCAGGATTGTTGTGTCAACTGATGCCTCGTATTGTAACTTTTAGACTGCAGGACTTCATGATCATTAGGCCTGTGGATATATGGTACACAAACTGTTTGGGGAATAATAGTTGAAATTGCTCTCATAATTTCTTGACTACTTGTTAAAATTCTATTGTGTTTACCTTATTTCACAAGTGCACAGTCTGGCATGTACCATCATGGATGAACCTTCTTGTCTTTAACCACATGTCCAAGTAATTTAGAGAAGAGGGCCTTTTGATCTCCAATAAACTTGTTATTTTAAACAAATTTTATCTTTCTTTCCTTCATAGTTGAAAATTAATTTGATACAATAAAATGGAGATCAATCATGTTTTCTGTATTGGAGTCCTGTACTGGTGGAATGTACTTGTTTTAGCTAAGTCTTACACCGACTCTCTTTACTTTCATTTGATACCCAAGTATGGAGATGAGTCGTGTTTCATGAATGAAAGGTTGGCATCTCCCTGGATTCAGTGAGTCAGTGACATTAACATTTTCTCTATCATGTGACATGAATCTTTGGCTATAATCACAAGGTGATGTCTTAACTAAGATTATATTCAACTCTCATCCTTTTTTCTGGTCCTTTCGTAAAAATCATAACAGATGCTTAGGACAACTGGCTGAGATCCCTTATTTACTGAGTACCAACCTTTATGTATACTATATTTCCCATGTATATTCAAACATTTAATGATCGATGAGACAATTTACCTAACTTTATTGGAATAGGAGGTTGTAGAAGTTATGATTGTTCCTTTCATTTCTTATGATTTCTCCTTGTCTCTTAGTTGGTAATGCTTCATTAAGTATGATGTACTATATTTTTTGACCTTTGCAATTGGTAGAAATCCTCCAAACCAGTGTAACCATAGACAAAATATCTTACACAATCTAGTTCAATGATACGTAGTTAATGCTTAAGATGACTTAAAGCTCTCCAAAACATTTTAACCATCAATCCAGTATCATATACATTCTAATTCAATCATCAGCAATGAAAACTTGAGAATAACCTGTAAGATATTGTGCATGCTGCTGTAGTACATTACCTTTTGAATTGAACATGTAATAGTAAATATTTAAAAAGAGTGGCCTGTAATATTGTTGATGTTGTAATATTACACCATAATAATGGTATAATTTTGTCGCCAAATTGCATGCAGATTAAATTACTATTTACTGTTAGTGAACCACTTTCAGACAGTCATGTTAGATATGACAGATAGTAAAGAACATTGCTTTTAGTTTTGATTTTGATTTTTTGACAGAGATACTTGGCATAATGAAACAAATTTCCTTTTTTATTCCTGTATTAGTGTATAAACTGTTTTATTGTCCCCTCAGGCAGAGCGGAAGTTATCGAAAGCTGAAAGAGCTCTAGTGAAAGTGGAAGAGTCATTGAAGCCTGCCTCAGGCAGAGCGGAAGTTATCGAAAGCTGAAAGAGCTCTAGTGAAAGTGGAAGAGTCATTGAAGCCTGCAGAGCGACCAGCAGAACCAGAGACCATAACTGATGAAGAGAGATTCATGTTTCGCAAGCTTGGTTTAAGGATGAAGGCGTTTTTGCTCCTGGGTAATCCTCCATTTAGAGGCTGTTCTTACCTTTGAAATCAAATATTTTGATATTTATATATTCTACACTTGGCGGAAATATGTTCGTTTCTGCAAGCCACACATTTCCAAAGATTCTCTATTTCTTAGAGTCTTAATTGTTTCTATCTTAAATATTTATGTTTGTCTTCTTTTTTTGAGTTTGAGTGCTGGTTTTATAATTAGAATATCAGGTGATATGATGGTTTCACCCTGTATACTGAAAAGCTCAAGCTGATTGGCTGTGGGCCAATATGTCTCTCAAGTATTCACAAAGCAGTAAAGTCAAACATATTATATTATATTTTATTGATCGATGTTTTATATTCTCTTGTTTATATTTCATATTCTCTTGTTTATAGACATCATGTTTTTAATATAATGTTAAACCGAGCATCTTGAACACTTTCAAACTGCTTTATATTCTCTCAAGTATAAGTTTTTACAATGTGAATTGAAACAAAAAATACTGCTACCTTAAGACATATTGGATCTGGTATTTTTTTATTAAAAAAATTGTCTTTGTTATTTTCTTTAGTTCTTTCTTAATTTTCAATTTATTTCTGATCTCAATATTGAAACAACCAAAAAGACCCAATCGCAATACTGATACCCAAAAAGAGGACATTTGTACACACGTATATGCCAACTATTGTTGCATCAATTATATTATATACTTCTTTAAGCATTGCAAATTGTGTCTTTCATTTTCTTAGTAATTTTCTTATTATTTGAATCAGTTTGGTTTATGCCAACACTTTTCACCTGATATTAATGAAACGACAAAAATTCCAATACTATACCCAGATATTAATAGGATCCAAGATCAGTAAAGGAAGATTATGTAACCCTTTTTTTATGGAAGATTATGTAAACATTTAAAACTTTGGTTTTCTGAAGTTGCATCCTTGATTCAAGAGTTTTGGGGTGGGCTGTTTTCTAGCTTCCAGCTCTTTTTTATTTTTATTTTATTTTTATCATCTTTTGTGCCAGGAACTAATGTTTTGCCTAATATTAATTTGTCTTGAATACAGGGAGGAGAGGTGTTTTTAGTGGTACAGTAGAAAACATGCACTTGCACTGGAAGTATCGGGAACTCGTGAAGGTTATTATTAAAGCAATGTGGTACAGTAGAAAACATGCACTTGCACTGGAAGTATCGGGAACTCGTGAAGGTTATTATTAAAGCAAAAACTTTTGCACAGGTTAAGAATGTCGCACTGGAAGTATCGGGAACTCGTGAAGGTTATTATTAAAGCAAAAACTTTTGCACAGGTTAAGAATGTCGCATTGGCCCTTGAAGCTGAGAGTGGGGGGATCTTAATTTCTGTGGATAAGATCTCAAAGGGGTTTGCAATAATTGTATACCGTGGAAAGGACTATCAACGACCTTCCTCCTTGAGGCCGAAAAATCTCCTGACCAAAAGAAAGGCTTTAGCCCGCTCTATAGAGCTTCAAAGGCGCGAGGTAATTATAATAGTGCTGTCCATGAATTATTGCCCTTTTTCTTTGGCATATTGAAAGAGCTCGTTTAGTTCCTTTCTTGCAACTTTAGCCTGAGGATTCTCATGCTCCTGCTAAGCATCTTAACAGCTGATTGTAGTTTATAAAAAAGAGGGTTAATTGCGGATATGCTAGCTATACTATCAGCTAACTGCAGATAGCCCCCCCTGTAGTTCTATTGTTGCAGATAGACCCCCTGAGTTTGACTCTTTTAACTCAAAAGAATTTTTTTTGGTGACAAATAGACTTCCTGTCGGTAAAAAAATATAACTCCGCAGGGAATATGCAACTATTGAACTACAGTGGGTCTATTCACAATTAACCTTAAAAAAATGGCACATGACAAGTTTTGGTCCAGAAGCATAGCGTTGGATAAATCTGCATTCTTTTTAAACCAAACAATAGTTTCAAATTTGAAATGAACCTTGTTTTAAGCTGTGGAAACTCATATTTTCCCTTCTTCTCATAGTCTAAATATCACGCTGATGGTCTTTTTTTTGTTTTTTGCGTAACAGGCTCTTAATCATCATATCTCAACTTTATACAGAAGGGTGGAGGCTCTGAAATCTGAACTGGTATATTACTTCCGGAAATTTACTTGCATTCCTTTAACCCGTTACTTCCACCAAAATGACTCCTATTCTCATTGAAGAGATCTTTATCCTTCTATGCTATTTTCACAGTGCCAAATGGAGGATGTCAAAGAACAAGGTGATGAGGAACTGTATTCCAAATTGGATTCAGCATATTCCACTGAAGATGAAGATACCGAGGTACAATTTCAAAATTTTACTTCTAATTGTTGCACTTAGATTTTTCTCATTGATGATAAGATACATTTCATGAATTCAAGGTGCTAATGCATTCTATATAATTTCATCTAAAATTTGTTCTGATAAGAGATTTTTAATATTTGAATCAGTGTTGAGGTGTACAATGGAAATGATTTTTGTACCAAGTGATTTATGGTTGAAGGGCTGCTGTATAAATTAGATACATCCAAGTTAGCACGTTCTGTTAATTAACATGATTTATTTAGATTAAAACATATCTCTGGATGTTAAATGATTAAATTGAACACAATTTCACCATGGATATTTATTAGGGTTAATTGCAAACAGACCCCGGTTATATCACCTCCACCCAATTGCGAACAGACCCCCTGGAGTTCTATTTTTGTGAATACACCCCTTGAGTGATTTTGTTTTTTCACTCTTGAAGCCATTGAAAAGATTTGAGGAGGTGGGTAGACCCCCTATAATTCCATTGGCGAGGATAAACCCTCAATTGCTATTTTTTTTTATTTTTAAAAGAGTCGAAAACGTTCACTAAGGGGGTGTATTCCCACGTGAGCCAATACTACAAGGAGTATATTTGCAACAAATAGAACAATGGGGGGTCTATTCACAATTGGGTGATAATATCGATTAACCATATTTATTATCCCAACTTTTCAAATACCGACTTTTAAGACTTGTTTGTTCATTATTTATAGGATGAGACCGATGAGACTTACCTTGAAACATTCGACACCGCCGCCGATTCTATTAGTGATGAATACAATGAGGATGATGAAGGTGATGAGGATGCTAGCGGTGACAGCAATAGTGACGGTGATGAAGATTTTGATGATGAAAACTACACAGATGATCATGAGCACAGAATTTTTAATA